TGAGCACCAACAGTAGTGATCCTTAGGTGCAGAGGCAAATTTCAAATTCAAGCAAGTTAAGAAAAGCAAATAATTTATCCCATTTTTTATGTCAAAAGTCTAACAAAATTTGCTTTAAAATATATTTCCATGCTGGATAAAATAATTCAATGAAGGGGCTGAGCAAATGCCTTGTTTGCAGGAAACCCAAATCCTTAGCACCAGCAGGAATTACCCATAAGCACAGAGTTGGGAGTAGCACCTGAATATTGCTGTTTGCAGCTCCCAAACAAACAAAAACATATCCAAATATAATTTTCTATACTCCATCCCTCACCCCATGTGCACACAAGTTGAATGCAGTGTTTTAAAATGCTTTCAGGTTCACTCTGACAATTCCTTGCTTATTAAATTGATGGAAACTTAAAAGAGCAAAACATATCATTAAAAAGAGCTTGTTCAAACATTATATAAAAATATTTCCTGTAACTATCCATATTTTGTACTAGAACTTTTCATTTCAGGAGAGAGATGGGCCACACCCAGAATTGCTCATAGTTTACTCTCAGTTCTGCATTCAGGGAGCACGTCTGGCCGTGTTCCAAGGATCAAATGTGCTGCCAGGGTTTGAACTTGGTCAGCCATGTGTAAGGCAATAACCTACCCTCTTCAGTCCCTTAGAACTTCTTTGCAGAAAAAAAATTGCTAAAAAATAACTATTGTAGACTTTTCATTTTCTATCTTGCTTTTTAAGTTTTAAAAGAAATAAACAGGAAGACAAAAACAAACTTAATTTAGGAAAAAGGATTACCGTTAATGTTATCAGTCCTTGAACTATCCTTTTTTCCCCCTTCAAGTTGATGATTCTCATTTTTAAAATGACCAAGATGAGAAATGAAACTGCATTACACAGATGGATTTTCTCCTTGAGAGATTGATGGATTGGGAGCAGAAAATAAAGCATTTCAAGTTGAATGTATGGTAGAGGAAATGGAAGAGTAGAAAAGATTTGGCGGTTTGTTTTGCTGAAGATTTTTGCAGCTTCACCCTTCTACTTTCCCCCTAAAAATCTGAGAAAGACACTATGGGGTTGGGAAAGGCTGAAGCAGATTGACTGCAGCTTATATGTGACAACGTCTTTCTGGGAGAAGCTGTCCAGTTGCATCTAGTGACTCATTTGGGCCAAAACACAATTCTCAATATACTTTTGCACAGAGAAGGACTCAGACCCTTGGCTGAATAGTGGCAGCATCCTTGCTTTCTTGTTCTTCATCACCTCTTAAAATCACCATGCCACTTACTTCTCTGTCATTTTTTGGTACATACAACATATATTCAATGTTCATTTCTCAATTGTACATGTTTAACATTCTCCTTCATGAATATGAATGAGTTTCTTGAAAGATTACTAGAATATCTACAAACTGTTATGTCACTCTATTTGTGTTGGGCATAAAACCAGACCCCTACTCCCTCTCTTTGGAGCTTTTCTCTATTCTGTGCTCATGGACATCTTTCCCTGCTTAAGGAGCTTCATTGCCAAGAAAACCCCCTTTCTAGTCACATGTTCCTGTGCTTTTTCTAAGACAACAGTTTGCTGTTTTTTTTTTTTTTAAAAAAAATAGCTATGATATAGAACTTTGACAACGGGAAATGAAAACCAATCTCAGAAGAGCTTCCAGGATTTTTTTTTTAGTGAAACAAGATAAATTTTATTGAAATTGACTTAGAAGATGTAAGGGGGAGAGAGAAAATGTAAATACATCTTCCAGAGAGAACACGGACTTTTCCAGATTAGATAAAGCAAACAAAGAGATGTAGAGACAAGTAAGCAAGGTACATGTTCAAGGGAGAATATGGGCTTGAAAAGCAAACCTTTGGAAAGTTTCTGGGTCATGAATGCTTGACACAAAATTCTAATAATCTATAAATAGTGAATATATATATATGTGTGTGTATATATATAAATTTTTAAGTTATACAGGCTGATTTGTGTTGTCTTTACATGTGACTCTCTGAAGACGTACAGTCATTTCTCTTGTGGTTTACTAGTATGAAAGGTCATTACCAATGCAATTAAATAATAATAAAAAGTATGTTGTTTTAGGTACCTTGTGGAAACAGAGAGTACAAAGTTGATAAGCTACTTGTAATCTAGTAGAAATATGATACTTCATTTGCTAACATTAAATCAACTGAATATAATATCTTGGTTAAATCAATTGTGTAATTGGAAGCTCAGCTATTTTGTGAACTAGAGAGTTTGCACCTTCTCTAGCAATCAGTTTGCATGAATGAAAGTTCTTTTATATGAAATTTCATGGAAAAGAGTAACAGAAACTTCTGTTTCTTTTTTCTTAAATAAGCTTTGTCATCAAGAAGGGAGTAGGATGATTTTCTCTGAATGATATCTAGCTGATAGTGTTTGGTGATATATTCATTTCATTGAGTTTTTTTTATTATATTCCTCCATTCTCTTATGGCTTTTAGAGTCTCATTTTATAGAACTGGTGTAAATCTTATGAGTTTTCCTTTGAATAAAAATTCATTCATTTATTTATTTATTTTGGTATTTGGGTCACATAGAGCAATGCTCAGGGATTACTCCCGGCTCCACCACTCAGAAATAATTACTGACAGTGCTTGGGGAGTGCTGGGGATCAAATCCAGTCAGCCACATGCAAAGCAAATAGCCTACCTACTGTACTATCACACCAGCCCCCAAACTTTATTTCTTGATCTTGTTGCTTACAGTATTGTCTCTGCCTTTGGTCTTTCTCATTTTGAGTACATCCAATGTGAGTTGGAGTTTTCACTGGAACTCTTCAAGCCCTTTAGGTATGGGTGCCTGAACTCATCACTCTAGGAAATTCTTATCAATGATTTTTTTAACTATAGGTTTTTCATCAAATTTATCTTCCTATTCTTCAGGAACTTACCTGGTTCTTATATTGTTTTTCTTGAATATATCACACAGTTCTCTGGTATGGTGTTTATTTCTTTACAGACTTCTTCATCTTTTGTTTTTAGAAGTTTATCCCTATCTTTCAGCTCTTCTATCTTTTTCTAACTACTTTGATTTTGCTACTCATATCTTCTATTGAGTTATTTATTTATTTATTGCTTTTTGGGTCAAACCTGGCGATACTCAGGGTTTGCTCCTGGTTCTGCACTCAGGAATTACTCTTGGCAGTGATCGAGGGCCCATATGAGATGCCAGAGATTGAACCCAGGTCAGCCATGTGCAAGGAAAATGCCCTACCCACTGTATTATCGCTCTGGCCCCCGAGTTATTTTTTTAATATAACCTACCATAGTCTTCATTTTTGTCATTTCTGATCATAGTTTTCTCATTTCTGTTCTCATAATTTTTGTTGATTACCTGTGCCATCATCATTTTGAGCTCATTAAACATTCTCACCATGGTATCACTAAAGGATTACAGAGCTGGTTGGTGTTGGTTGAGCTTTCCATGGTACTTTCTTTGCTCATTGAACTTGGTCTTCTTTCTACATATCTTCCTCATTGGGTTTGCTGGACTCCTGTCATACTAACGATGGATGTAGTTAGACCCTAGAAAGTCTCTGAGGGATTATATTGGGAATTATTCTTTTTCGTCCCTGCTCATTGTAACCCAGTGACAGGAAGTATAAATGTGAACAGTGTGAAAATTTATGGCTAGAGTTGCCATTGTTTATCAGGAGATGTGGAGCTAAGTATATTGATATGGTAGAGGATGCTGGGATTATCTGGAAAAGACAGAATCCACCCTGATTCTGAAAAGGCCCTGGAGTTGTCTGGTTGTCTTTTATGTCACACAGGTTGGAACACAGAAAAGTGAATGTCAAAGAGAGTGGAATGGTTTTTATGTGACTGACTTCAATTTCAATAGGTGATTTCTATTCATAGCAAGACATATTTGGAAAATGCTTGTTCTGAGGTGGGGTGGGAGAGAGTGTCTTTGTTGCTCTGATAGCTTCTCCAGGGATACAACTTCTGATTTATCATCTAGCTTTAAACACTTGTCAGCACACAGTATGAAAATCTAGGCCAATTTAGTTTGAAGCAGAGCCCAGAAAAGTTCTTGCACAATATACATTTAAGAGGGTTTCTTTGGGCAAAAATAGTTACATGGTGAATTCTGTTCTCAGAGACATTCTTTTCTTACAAGGTTATGTGGCGGTGACTCTATTTGGCAGGGTCTTTTTTTTTTTTTTAATACTCTGGAACAAAACCTGAAGCCTTATAAAAGTACAGAGAAGCAAAATTACCTTCTTAGGGAAACTAGATGAAAAATTATTCTTAGAGCAACAATTAAAAGAAACTATACACCCTCAAAAGTGAGAAGTATCTAAATCAATGTTCCAATGGCAATAAGCTCAATTCTGCTCATACGTTCTGTTAAAAATTTATAATTATGTATATTCAAATAGCAATAAAATAAAAGCGTGTGTTATACTAATGATGTTTCAAATGTTTTTTTTTTCTTTTTCTGGGAGGACTGAAGACTTGAGCAACATTCAACGGTGCTTAAAACACTATATTCAGGGATAGCTCCTGGCAGTGCTCAGGGGACTGTGTAATGTGCTAGGGATTGAACCCAGGTCAGTCACATGCACTGCAAGCACCTTATTCCTGTACTATTTCTCTAGCCTGTCAGATATTTTCATATGTTTCGATGCATGAGAATACTATTGCTTTTGTTTCTCTTTTCACCAACATGACGGTTTCCTTTGACGTTTCATGTTTCTCATTTCATTTCAGTTTTCTCTTCCTATTTCCCTTGGATCCATCTAAGATTCCTGATATGTAGATGTGCTCTCTTACAGATCCATGTAACTGAAAAGTCATTTCAAGGACTTGGACACTCATGCTACATCTTTGTTTATCCTAGACCCCAGAAAGTTCCCTTTTCCTGGTTTTCTTTGTGTCTGTGCCATCATATTTTTATGATACTTTATCTAGTTTGGTTGAGAGGTCCCAGACTGATAAAAACAACTTTATTTTTTTTCACCTTTCAGTATTCATAGCTACATCTTAGCTGGTAAGTCATCCTTTCCTGATTCTTGGGCTCAGCAAATGTTTAACAGATTTCCTTGAGAAGGGGTTAACTGGATAAGGAACTAAAATATACTTTAAATGTCATATCTGTACTTTCTTTTTATCCCAAACCACATGTTCTTTACCCAATACCCATGAAGTTGTAGTAGGTAAGCCCCGTGCCTGAGTGTGAGGGAATGATGTCATGAATTAAATTGTCATTTCTGGAAATTAGTTGCTAATTTACATAAAGCAAATCAAGACGATAACCTCTTAAAAGATTAAGGAGTAATGTGTGCAGTCTTTATGTTGCCTACAATATAGCAATCCATTTCCAATAATCAACATCAACGAAAGTACTGGTAGATTATGTTGATTGATGAATTGCTTGGCAACAGACTTCCTGAATCTTAATAATCACTCTCAATAGCATATACGATGAGATTTTATATTAATGATGATACTCATAGCATTTAACTAGGTAAGAAAGAATCCTAACCTAAAATCTAGCAAAGGAAAAGGCTGTTTCTGTTGACTTGTTAGAAATGAACTCTGCAGCAAGACTGCTATGCTTTAGAATATCAGCTCTGGACCAGATAGATAGCTCAATGGGATGAGCACATGTTTTGCTTTGGGTGACTTGGCCTCTATCCAGGGTACTATGTGATCCACTGACATCTCAGGGGTGACCCCTAACTATAGAAATCTGCTGGATGTAACCCTGATACTAAAAAAAAATAGAAAATAAAAACTCAGTTCTATAATATCCTGCATACGATGAAAACCGCAATGAGATACCATCTCACACCTCAGAGATTGGCCCACATCTAAATGAACAAAAGCAATCGGTGTTGGCATGGATGTGGCGAGAAAGGGACCCTCCTTCACTGCTGGTGGGAATGCTGACTGGTTCCACCCTTTTGGAAAACAGTATGGACGATTCTCAAAAAATTAGAAATTGAGCTCCCATTTGACCCAGCAATACCACTCCTGGGAATATATCCCAGAGAGGCAAAAAAGTATAGTCAAAGTGACATCTGCACTTGTTTGTTCATTGCAGCACTCTTTACAATAGCCAGAATCTGGAAAAAAATTGAGTGCCCAAGAAGAGATGACTGGTTAAAGAAACTTTGGTACATCTACACAATGGAGTACTACGTAGCTGTTAGAAAAGATGAAGTCATGAAATTTACATACAAGTGGTACTACATGGAAAGTTTCATGCTAAGTGAAATGAGTCAGAAAGAGAGGGATAGACATAAAAAGATTGCATTCATCTGGGGGACATAAAGTAACAAAATAGAAGATTAATACCCAAGAATAGCCTTGATCATTACCAGGAGGATTGCTCCATGGCTTAGAGGCCAGCCGGGCATTCTAGGGGAAAGGGCAGCTCAGATAGAGAAGGGAGCACCAAATAAAGGGTGTTTGGAGGATCCTCCCAAGATGGGAGATGCATGTTGAAAGTAGACTATGGACTGAACATGATTGCCACTCAATGCCTCTTTTGCAGACCACAACACCCAAAAGGAGAGAGAGAACAAAAGGGAATGCCCTGCCACAGAGGCAGGGTGGGATGGGGGATGGGGGTGGGAGGGATACTGGGATCCATAGTGGTGGAAAATGGGCACTGGTGGAGGGATGGGTTTTTGATCCATTTGATCATTGTATAATCGAAACCCAAGCACAAAAATTTGTAAGTCTACAACTGTACCTCATGGTGTTTCACTAATAAAAACTTTTTTTAAAAAGGGGAAAAAAGTATCCTGCATATGGGACCAAAGGATCTCTCTTAATCCTATGTTACAGAACTTCCTCCTCTGTCATACGGGATTAAGTTTGTTATAAAAAATTATACAAAATTACTAAGCACAAAATTACTAAGAGAGTTCACTTTCAACAAATGATAAATAGGCATTTTCTTTTATTTCTGGTGGTGTATCAACTTCACTACTTTACCACATTTAGGAAGATCCTTATCTTGTGAGTCTTGTTGGGAAACAGAACCAGTATGGGAAATACAAAGCCTACAAGAAAATGCCAGGTTCTTCCTTCCTAGTTTATTTTTTGGCTAAGGCAGCCACACACCCCAGGTTTAGTCAATTGGACAGTCAAACGTTAGAATCAAAGCATGGGAGAACCTGACAGAAGTACTAAATGAAAGTATGTGCTTGGGGCATTTGCAGGGATACTGTGCTGTGAAGGCTTTCAGAATTCTTTCTCTTGTGGGAAAACAACTATTCTATTCTATTCTATTCCTAGATTTTACAGCTTATTCCCAGATTCTTCAATGCCTGGTGAGCTACATACTGTTGTATAAGTAAGTTCTCTTTCTCTCTATCAGGAAATCAGCAAGTATTGGTTTCCACTCTTAGCTTACAGACTCTTATTACGAAGGTTATTCTTATGTCAATTTTTAGTGAATTCATTTGGAAACATTCTGGAAAAAAAATGTTATTTTATCTTAGTTCTGAAGCACCATAAAGAAATGTTTCTGCCATGTGTACCTTCAATATTGAGTGCCTCTGGTTATATCTATCACAAATGCTTAATAAATATTGACTTAATAAGTGGTGAGTTTGTAAATGGTTTCAAAACAGACAGTGATAATGTTCTCTCCCCGCAAAGGGTAACAACTTAAACATAAAGCAATCAAAATTGGTATTTCCACTACAGGCAAAAATAAAGGATCAGAAAATGTACTGCTTGAAGCAAATACAAGTCTTTTTTAAAAGAAGGCAACTTCACTTTATGGCTCAAATTGTTTCTACAAATAATTTTTTTTAATACAAGGGAAGGAACATTGATAGAAAAAAAAGACTAAAAGTAATATTCAAAGGAAAATAACTTACAGTGTGTTTGGAACTGGACACGGTCTGGGTGCAGGTGAGAGCGGCCTCCCGAGTTCTTCCTGCATGGAGAAGAGGATTCGGGATACCCTTGGTGGCGCGGAGACTGAGGGACCCTGACATAAATCCTTGCTTGTCAGAATCTGACGCTTCTACCAGACGCATGAATGAAAACAACTATGACAAGGAAAGGTGCTCCACTTACTTCATGAGGTACAAAAACTGCCGAAAATTTTGGAATTCTATCATGGCCCAAAGAGACAAAATGGAGTGAAGCCGTATATGCTGACAGCTGCCAACAAAGATGAAATTTTGGGAGTCAGGGGAAAATGTCAGGGGAAAATGCCTTATTGATTGTTTGCATTAAAATGGTATAGATATAGATATAGATATAGATATAGATATAGATATATATCCTACAACAGAAACATACTCAAGTACTTCAGATATTGGAATTTTCAGGCATACATTATTAGAAAAAAAAGTGTTGTACTAAAGATATAAATAATTGACATTAAAATGGGGGTAGAAATTATGAATTTTAAATAAAATAATAAAATAAATTCTAGAGCAAAAATATTCAACAAAAATTATATTGAGTGGAAAATTTTAAAAGCAAAATAAAATAACTGAAGCTAGTATAGATTAGAAGAAATTATATAGAGATGGAAGCATAAAAGATCCCCAAATGGAAATCATAGGCTAATAAGTAAAAAATAAAAAACAAAGCATAGAATGTCTAGAAGGTTAAAATTATTTTCATGTGGAAGAGAGAAACTAGAAATAAGGCAAAAGCAACTTATAGAAAATGACTTAGAATTGAACAGAATTATTTGAAGAGTGAAATTCATAATAAAAAAATCCAATGAACACAAGGGGATATATAAAATTAAATCCAAATCTGTATGGTAAAATGGCAGAAAGCTGAAAACAATCAGGGAGAGACAAATTTTCTGCAGAGGAACAACACATTTTCCCAAAAAACAAATGCATATGAAACAAACAAAAAATAGTAAAATACAGATAATTATAAAACATGATTAGAAACTTAATCTTTTGGAAAAGTTAAACATACAGACAACTTAGAACAGCATTTATAAACAACTGCAAAACATTTCTTTTAAGAATGCCTAAGGGGCCAGGGAACAAGATCAGTGATCAGGGGCTATGTCTTTGTGCACACAAAGCTCCAGCTTCAATCCACAGTACTGCGTTCCACCCCCAAGTTATGGTGGATGTGGCTTTGGTGGCCACTGAGCACTACCAGCACTACGCACTGAGCAGGGAACCACCAGGTTCCAGCATCCAAACACTGAACCAGCTGTATGGGGAATGAAACCAACAGCATTGGAAGACTAAACTCAAATAAAATTACTTCCTGACCACAATAAAATTATTCGCCCAAATTAATGAAAAGATAAAATGTCAAGCCTATACATATTTGGAGCTTAAAATATGCATTATAAATAAATTCTTTATGAGTCAATGGATAAATTATACTGAAACTCAGAAAATATTTTGAACAAAATGCTAACAAAATATTGCATTAAACTTGTAGATGCAATTCAAGTAGTAATTCATGAATACTCAGAGGCCTACCTAAAATAAAATGTAGTTTCTAGTGGAAAATAAGTGCCTAAAAAATGACCTAACCTGATGGTTTGACATTGATATGTCAAATAGACAGAAAAATGAACAGGGAAATGAAAGCAAGAGAGCAAGACAATGGCAAATAAAATAGAAAAAGTTGACTAAAGAAACTGAAGTTATTGAAAAAGTCATATAGCTATTATAAAAAATAATGCCACAAAAGTTAAAAATATAGATGAAATAGATCCATTCCCCCCAAAATGTAGAATTATCAAACTGACACAAAATTAACTAGAAAGCAAAAAATATTTTTTAAGTTAATAATTGCTTAGAAGTTAATTGTAAATTAAACCAAATCTAAAACTTCTCATGTAGATAACTCCAGGTGCAATTAAATTTATCAAGAAAAACACAAAGAAATAAATTTAAGAACAGAAGTATGATTCTAAAGGTCATACCTGGAAATATCAGAATATGTGAACGGTTTTCTTCTAAAAGATTTTAGAGTTATTTAAGGTACAGAAGAGTAAAGATTAGAGACTCTAGCCACCAGGAGCCTCATCCTCCCTAAGTCTGTTCCTTTGAAGGATTTCAGGTAGAATTTTTAGCTTTCTGATTCCAGCTGAGTCTTTCTGAATGTGTGTGTGAGAGAGAGAAAGAAAAGAAAGAGAGAGGAGAGAGAGAGAGCAAGAAGGAATAAAGGGGAAAGGAGGAAGGAATAAAGCAAGAAGTAAAAAAGAGGGAAGGAAGGAAGGAAGGAAGGAAGGAAGGAAGGAAGGAAGGAAGGAAGGAAGGAAGGAAGGAAGGAAAGGAGGGAAGGAGGGAGGGAGGGAGGGAGGGAGGGAGGGATAGAAAAAGGAAGAAAGGAAGAAAGAAAGAGAAAGAAGGAAAGAGAGAAGGAAAGGAAGGAAGGAAGGAAGGAAGGAAGGAAGGAAGAAAGAAAGAAAGAAAGAAAGAAAGAAAGAAAGAAAGAAAGAAAGAAAGAAAGAAAGAAAGAAAGAAAGAAAAGAGGAATTTGGGGAGCAACTAACCAGGGCGGTAAAGAAGAAAACTAACGCTTTGAACTTAGTTTTATTCTGAGAGACACTCATGATATGAAAATGAAGAAGTCTTGTGTTCGAGGGCAGAGCCTAGCCCAGAGATGGTGTGAATGAGGATCTTGAGGAACAGGCAGGAGCACCTTTGTGTGTGTGTGTGCGCGTGTGCGTGTATGTGTCTGTGAGTGTGTGCACATGCGCACGAGCACACACAAGGACTCAGGCACACATATGTATTTGCATATACAGGCTGTTGTGTACTAAAGTACTCATTTGTTTAATGTTAACACACAAAAATGTACCAACATGTTTATGGCCCGATTTTAGAATTTGTTCCGTTTCCAATTCTGGAACAAAAAAATAAAAGAAAAAGGAGGCAACCAGGGCCTAATGTGTGGAATAGCAGACCACCAGCTAGTTTAGACATCACCTTCGTGAGTCAAAAAAGGCCAAAGGGCTTGGAAATCCATGATTATCCCATGATTAACCTATGGTTATTATAATGCAAAAATTTTGGGGATGGTTTGTCCTTCTGCAGCAGCCCGGGAGAAAAGCCCGGGAATCATACCTCTCTCTCACTGCCTCTCCCACATTCCCTACAATGTACCCTGTGGTTCCAGCCCCCAAGAAATTGCCTGCTCACCTTTGCTTCCAGCACTTCCATAATATCCCCTGATGGCCCTATTAACTCCTGCTAAGCTCACAAATAACTTCATCAGGCAGCCCAGGCCGACCAGCCTGCAACTCTATCACCCCAGGGAAGAAACCCTACAGCCCACACTGTTAACCTTTAGTTTTAGTTTTCCTGACTCAAAAGAGCTATGCATTTATTTTTGGATTTGGATACAACTTGCCACAGGGCCATGCAGAAAAGAAAAATCAATGTTCACTTTCTCGGAGCGTTGGTGAGAAGTCCCAGTTTCCCAAACTGTTAACAACACAGCTTTTCCTATGAATAACAATGGCAACAGCTATTTGAAGACAGTAATTAATGTGCTTTAATCTCTAGATTTTAGGCAAGCAGTGATACTGAACCTGTTTATTTTTATCCATTTTTTTAAAATTGTTTCTCTTAGCATGTTCAACCTTTTCTACAAAATTAAACATAGGTCTTCATAAAATAGAGTCATATAAATGATGATTATAGTATAAATTTTAAATATTTTTTCTAGTTTGGAACATTACTTATCTCTGTGTATCTTTTCCATTTATTTTTGTTTGTGAATTATCTGTTTTGCCCTCTAGAGTGTCACTTCCAAATGATATTGAAAATCATAATTTATCCTAGCCACTGCCACTTCCTTAGCATTACTATAAGGTGTGACACGTAGTAGGTTATCAATAAATCTTTGTTGAATGAATGTATTAAATACTTAAATACTCACTGTAAACCAGACTCTGGTGATATCTGGAACATAGAGGTAAAAGAAATAGTCCCAATTCATGATGCTCACAGTCCAGGGAATGATGCTGAGCATATTCTTAGAACCAAAAATTACAGCTTTCAAAAGTGTAGGCTCCTTACACAAAAGGAATTGAAACAGAGGGAAGATGCTTTTAAGATTGTCCCACATGAGCCCTGCCTCCCGCTATTTATTGCACTCCCCAATACCCCTTAAAAGCAAACTAGACCCAATGACTGGCTCCTAGAACATAACAAACAAAAATCAAATAACCAAAAAGGATGCAGTGCCATTCCAAGATTGAGGTATGAAATAACTATGTTTTATTGTGCTTATTCCTTCAATCTGTGAGTCTCTCGGAGCATTTATTCTGGCAAGGGTATGTGTATGTGTATGCTGTAAGCTTCCCTGTGTAGAGAAGATCACCATGCAGAGAACAGAGGGAGCAAAGCAAGTGAAGAACTTAGCCGCCAGATTGGAATGCTGTCATCCATCGTAGGTGTGAGTTTGGAAGCAGGTTGTTCCCAACCAAGCCTTCAGATGAGTCCACAACCCTGCTTAATACCTGACTATAAACCTCCCCCAAAATTTTTGAGTCAGAGTCATGGAAATTTCACTTGATTCTTGAGCCACTGAGACTGGAGATATAAATGTTTGGGAGTTCCCCCAATAAATTTATGGGCTATTATTTATCAGTACTAAATTATTAATACACAGATCTAGATAATTTAGACACAAATTTCCCACACTCAAGCCCATAAAAAGCAGTGACTGATTTAACTAATCCAGAGATCTGAAATTGTATGGCATTCATTTCTCAGATTCAAACCAGAGTAAGGTAATGATGAGTTAATTTTAGAATTCACAATTTAGCGCCATAATTTACCAAGCACTTGTCTCTTCTTGTGTAGGGAACAGAAAAAAATAAATGCTTCCCTACTAAAAACGTAGGAAATACTTGAGAATTAATGTTCTTTCTCTTTGCCCCTCTTCCCTTTATTAAGTGCCTCAAAGAGAAGTCATCATTCTCACTAAATGTTGATGTTATCCTATTTGGATTCCTAGAAAGTAAAAATAAAAGCAAAAAACCCTATAGATATTTGTAACACTGATGAAAGAGAAAAACATTAATTTTCTACTACTTCCAGGACCCTATTATTTTCTGCTAACATTCTCCTTCCCTGTAGAAGTAGCTGCCGAACCAGAAATGGAAAGTGAGGAGGAATCCATAAATGGTGAAAGGA